GTGGCTCACAACGTGACCAAGGAACTTCAGTTCTTCATATCCAAAATGACATTTCTCGAGTCTGAGAGAAAGCCCCGCTGTTCTGATTGCCTGAAGTACTGCATGAAGGCGTTGGACGTGTTGTTCAAACGTGTCTGCAAAGACCACGACGTCATCAAGGTAAACAAGACATGATTGCCATTTGAGCCCTGTGAGAACCATATCCATCATTCTTTGGAAAGTAGCTGGCGCTGAGCATAGACCGAAAGGCAACACTTTAAACTCGTACAGGCCGTCGGGAGTAATAAACGCCGTCTTTTCGCGGTCGCGCTCATCCACTGCGATTCGCCAGTAGCCGCTACGTAAATCCATGGAAGAAAAATATTTAGCGTTGTGTATACGGTCCAACGAGTCATCTATCCGGGGTAGAGGATAAACGTCCTTTTTGGTGACCTTGTTCAGTTTACGGTAATCAACGCAAAAACGCAACGTACCGTCCTTCTTCTTTACTAGCACAACTGGCGAAGCCCAGAGACTGGTTGATGGCTGGATGACGTCGTCCTGAAGCATCTGCTGGACTTGGTCACGTATAGCGTCTTGCTCTTTTTGCGACACCCTATAGGCGTGTTGTCGGATGGGTCTCTCGGTGGGTTCAGTGATGATACGGTGCTGAGCAAGTGGTGTCTGTTTAACCTTTGACGTAGTGGCAAAGCAGTCTTGAAATGAGCCGAGTAAACGCAAAACGCTTTCTCGTTGAGACGAAGGTAGTCTCTCGTTTAGGTCGAGAGTGCTCGCGAACGCCTCGTCAGGATGGCCATTCGATGAGAATAAAGCTAACGTGGGCGAACCATCGGCATCGGCAAGTTCTTCACAATATGCAATGGCAATGTGTCTCGTTAGGTGGCGATATTCGTCGCTGAAGTTCGTGACCAGCAGGTGAACATGCCTATTGCTAGGCTGAATGATTCCTCGGGCAACACAGATTTGTCGTGAAATAAGGAGAGACAAATTGGCCTCTGCAATTACCGCGTCAGACATGCCCTGTCACAATTCTACTTCAACAAAGAGGCTGCTTCGAGGTGGGAGAGTCAGAGAATCGTCGGTAACACGAAGTGCTCTTTTTCGGAATTGTGTACTACTGTCAGTTGCAGCGCAAAAAGGATTCTCGAACGACACAAGTAATTCACGGAGGTCGATGACGACGCCGTATTCACGAAGGAAGTCCAGTCCTAGAATGACTGGCCGAGAGCACACGCGCAATACGAGAAAAGAGCCTGCAAATGTCGACGTACGTATACGAATGCGTGCCGTGCACATACCTGTAGGCATCACCAGATGGCCCCCTGCTGTGCGCAACTGGGGTCCTTGCCATGGTGTGGTAACCTTCCTCAGTTCAGATGCCAGTGCGGTGCTCATTACCAAATAGCCGGCGCCGGTGTCGACGAGGGCGTTGACAGCATGATTGTCGACGAAGACGGCGATTTCGGCAGAAACAATCTTTCTGCTGTCAGAGAGCACTGCGAAACCGGAGTGGTCTTCGTCTGGTCGCTGCGTCGAATGAGGGTCTTTTACAGTTCGCCGGGCCGCGACTTCACCCCCAGAAGTCGCCATTCCTAGTTTCCCCTGCGGGGACTTGGTGACCGGCTCCTGAAAGGAGCGGAAGACGAGGGCAAACTGGGTGACGTAGACCGGCGAGGCGACGGTGATCTCGACTGGTGGTGCTGAACAGTCGAAGGTGTTCGCTGGCCCGTGAGATAGGCTTCGATTTCGCGGGGGCGCTCACCGTAGCGCGGGCATCGAGCATCAGGATGGAAGCCGCGGAGACCTAGTTGCCGGTATTGACAGTTCCTGTATACGTGACCCGCTTCGCCACAGTGATAGCAGAGCGGACGGTTATCCGAGGTGCGCCACGTGCTTGTCTTGCTACCACTTTGTCTTGAGGTAGAGTGCAGATAGGTGGGTGTGCTCGGGAACCTTGAGCCATGAGGCGGGCTCGAAGCAGTGGCGTGGAATGACTGCATAGCCTGGTACCTGGGCCGCATAGCAGGATCTGTAGCCGGTGGCGCAGGGGATCACAATGCCGCTGCGTATGTCAGGACTGGCGCCTCGGGAATCGGTGGTGTGATTGGGGTCAGGGGTGTGACGGCCTGCCAGACTTCTTGTCTGATTACGTCCGCGAGGGCAGACACAGGTTGATGGGATCCCACCGCCTGAAGCTGTCGCAGTTCGTCCTGAACAATACTTCGAATGAAGTCGGCTCGCTGTCAGAGCCGATAGAGCATGCGGTGGCCGGGATCTGGCGTTCGTATTGTGATGGCCGCTACTGCAGCGTACGTTCCATAGTGGTCGCCTCACTGATGAACTGGGCGACTGTCGTTGGTGGATTGCGCACGAGCCCAGCGAAGAGCTGTTCTTTTACTCCGCGCATCAAATGCCTCACCTTCTTTTCCTCGGGCATGGCAGCGTCCGCACGCTTGAAGAGCCGAAGCATGTCCTCGACAAACATGGATACTCGTTCGTTCGGCCGCTGGTTTCTGCAAGATATGGCTTGTTCGGCCCTCTCCTTCCTCTCAGTGTTCCGAAAGGCGTCGCGGAGCTGACGACTAAACTCTTGCCAGGTTGCAAAGGAGCCCTCGTGGTTCTCGTACCACGTCTTCGCAGAATCCTCCAGTAAAAGTAAACTCGGCTCAGCTTGCGAACATCATCCCATTCGTTGATACAGGCAACCCGATCAAAGTGGTCGAGCCAGTCATCAACATCCTCGAAGGTATCTCCATGGAACGGTTTTGGTGTCTGTGGCGCATGAAAAACATGGGCGATAAGAGAACCATGGGCATCGCTGGTTTGGACCGCCTGGCTTGTCATCAGAGTTGCCATCTTTCTGGGTGTCGATGTCAAGGGACCAAATTCAGGGGGTAACCCACGCAGGCGGCGGCTGCTTCTTGCTCTGGGAGATGTAGCTGTCTCCACGATGGCCGACACAGCCGAAGTACACGTACCCAGCGTCTCCACCAGTAATGTCGCGAGCAAAAACAAGACCTGCAGCCAGGAGTTCACCTGAACCAGAGCAACGAAAACGTTCTCTTCTTCTTCGTAGCCCAAAACGGGTATGAGCCACAGCGGCTCGTTCATTATTGGTGGCAATATATATAAAACTTGATATATATATTTGATATTTGGCCAGTATGGCTGTACGTGTGCAGCGGGGCATATCAAGCTCCAAGTTAAGAGAATAATAATAAAACTTCTGGGAGAAAGAAAGTTTTGCATTGTCATGGTAATTACATCAGTTAACTCAATTATGAATTCTAAGGGCATACATGTACAAAGCATGAACAAACTAAGCAGCACAACTTTAAATATTACGGCAGTTCTCAGCCTTGAGGTGCATCCCGTATGACAAATGTGTAGTCTAGTTCCAATCTGACGAACATGTTGTAAGATAATAATCTCCCATGTGGCAGTACGTGACACAAATGCAATGGGTTTAGGTAATCCAATGTCATTTAGTCATTCGAATATTGTTAGTAGTGTGACTTCTCCAAGAAAGGAAAGGTTGTTACAAATGTGACACTACCATATTTCAAAGAAAAGGCTACTTCAAAAAGAATACAAAGGAACTTTGCAGGAGGAAACCGGGGGAACGTGTTATTTAGGTAAGGCACACCACTTGATCACAGCTCTTACACTATCATTCCTTCACATGATCGGGATGAGTATGTAGGGCAAGGCGACTTTCAGCATGGGACATTGTATCATGCAGTAGTCCCAGAGCACTTAGATGTTGCAGCAAAAAAAAGAGCGGAAAGTTGTTTATGTAAATGAGGTAATCAGGGTGAACAGTGGAAGTGCCTCCAACAGGATGGCCCATTTTTTTATAAGAGGACATATCTTTCTCGAAGGTAGCTTGTCATCCTTGGTGTGTTAGTTTTAAGGAGGTTAGAAGTGGCACCTCCTGGTGGTGGTATGTGGCCCTGTTGGTAATCGACGTCTGAAAAGAACAATTCTATAAAGCAAAAGAGAACAGCCCTCACTTCATTTCAAGTTAGATTGCAATGTTACAAAGTGTTCTCTTCTCAGAGGTCGGAGGAAGGCAAAACAAACAAAAAAAGGAAAAAGAACAGGGGGGAACGCAAAATACGAGCAGAGTGATACAAAGCAGTGGGCGCTACAGAAACAAACAAAGAAAAGAGCATAAATATTTCGAAATCCATAGATGGGCACCACGTCCAGCCGCGACTATTCCCAAACACCTATGAATTGGAAGGACGGCAAGGAAGCAGTTACAAAAATGGGGCGAAGCAGGTGGTGTACTTTCAGATGTCAAGATGTCTACAGCAAGTGATACCGGGTGGGGTCTGAAGAGTACGTGTTTAATGGGAAATGCCATTAGAAAAAACAACAACAACAAATGTTTTGAGAAGAGAACACTTTGTATCATTGCAACCTAACTCGAAACGAAGTGAGAGCTGCACTCCTTTGCTTTATAGAATTTTTCTTTTCAGACGGCGATTACCAACAGGGCCACACACCACCACCAGAAGATGTTACTACTGACCCCCTTAAAACTAACACGCCAAAAATGACAAGGCGCCTTTGACAAAGATAGGTCCTTCTCTCGAACCGCCGGCCAGCCTCTACGAGGCACTTCCACGGTTCACCCTGATTACCCCACTACGCGTTTCTATTTGTCGACTCCAATCTTGATTATGTAAATGAGTAAACGAAGATAGCTAAGAATTGAATAAAGTTAAGCTGCGAATTGGTTAGAATGACTGCAGAAAAAAAGTATTCAAATACCAACAAAAAAGGGCATCTTTGCTGACTTTTCCTGTTCTTTCATGTCTGTGTTTTCATTTCCCTATCAAAATTACAACTGAGCCTTAAAAAACATCCTCAAAAGGAAGCTTGAAGTCTGGTTATTTATGATAGGAGCTGCTTCTCAAAAGTACTTTGATCCAGATCAGTATGCTTATATATTGTTGTGACAGCTTATTAGGCATTCAACGTAAGTGGGATACCTCATCGAACGCTTTTGCAAAGTCCACGAAGATGGCATCTGTTTGGAGGTTACAGTCGACGTTACAATGGATGCCACGCACGAAGATGGCCCGATGAGTTTTGCAGGTCTGACGTTTGCGAAAACCATGCTGTGTCGGACAGAAAAAAATTGTCTGAATAAGATATGCTGCACTAAAGATAGTACACCGCAAATAGGGTACTGCAATATTGTTGCCACTTTTAAGCAACTGTTACAAGAACTAGCGCATACACACTAATTGCCAGGACTATTTTAAGTAATAGACTGCTGCACGAGTCAAGAAAACAGTTACAGTCCCATTGACTAACATTGAGGACAGCACAAACATAAGCTTACACTCTCATAGAACACTCAGTTAATTATTTTCCCAGTCTCAGTCGAATGCACTGTTACTATGCTAGCTTTCTTTTCGACACTTAGACATGACTGGTTCCACATGCTGAGACCAAGGTATTGGAAATCATTTGATTCACCTTTACGTTTAACTCGCAAGTGCACCTTCTGTCTTAATTCACTTTAATTCACATTCGATTCTCTTTGAGTTATTCGTAGGTCAAATATAATACACCTTCAATTTGATTTAGCCACTTTAATTCACATTTAGTTCATCTCACGCACTAATCATCACCTCTAATCCATTGGCATAGCCTTACTCGCCATCCTCCCTGGTAGCTTTCTTCACCTTACCTGGTGTTGCGCTACATCTTTGATCAGCCCGCTTGACTATTGGTATCATTTTTGTTCACGCCGGCACACACCAAATCATGTGATACTTAAACAAAAAAAATTAAACATTGGCCACCCGGCCAATGTTTAAGCACTTGCTGAATGTCAAGCAATCTTGAACTGGCGACTGTGTTCATGTTTGTGAACATTGTCTATCAACTGTCGATCAGAAAGAAAATGTTAAGCATATCTGAAAAGCAACATCAATATGTAAGTATTAGGTGGTTTGTCCCTTTACTAGAAATTAGATAAACATATAATAATAAAGTCCCTAATGTTTCTTAGGCTGCGCTGAAAATGCGAAGCTATGCAACAAAAAAGCCATCTGTCAATGACATGACACTGCCTACTTTGGCAGGCTTCTACTTCGGCACATCAGTAGTGCATGCGCACAGCCATTGACCCTTCCACACAATAAAATACATTCATATCTCACAAATGGTTCTTCCTTGCAAACTATGCTGCTATAAAGAAGCACACTCGACGAAAACATTGCCGACATATCGTGGAGGTACAAACACACGGCATGCCAGCAGTGATAAGTTGGTAAACTTAAATCTGTTCAAAAAAAAACCTCCATTGCTTTTATCATGCCAGGACAGAAATGGTACGGGAGCAGCATCGCAGGTGGCTGTGGACGAGACTGGCACTCGTGTAGAAGACTATAGTCTTTCAATGACATTTGGAGCGAAGCAAGCAGATACGAGGCCATTTTTTCTCTTTTGAACCAAACATTCCTTTCAACTGAGTAAGCTGGAGGTTTGTAACAGAGGAAGCTTTTCTATGGGGCAGCTTTCGGCTTATTAGAATTATCAGCACCTTCAAAAATGATTTGAGCAAAGCTTTTTGGACTATAAGCCACTCAACGTTTAGCTGAATGTTTAGCTGAAAATAGGCATAAAAAAAGGATGCTGCTTCTCCAACATGCCCAAGACTGGATGCAACTGAGCAGTTCCCTAAAGAACACACAAGTTTTCATCTCTACCCTCATAGCACAGGGCCCTGCTTTGCCCAAATGTGTACTTGTCATTCTTTCATGTCCATGTCTCTAAAACAACATGACCAAGGAGGCTCAGGCCACACTAAATTGAACAATAAGTGCGACAACACTGCTTGGCTGATTGTGCAACTGTAATGCGAGAAATTCCTGGCAGAAAAATGGCAGAGTCATCTCAACTAAAAAAAAAAATGTTCCCATTGAGAGAATTACAACCTTAGCTCCAGTACCACTGAAATTGATCTGTGGATGAGCGCACTATACCACTGTGCCACTGATACACTGTACAGTCTTTGCAACAGGCAAATGCAATAATGACCAAGCATGGGATTGGGCTCAGCATGGTGGGAGATTACTTATAATTTATTGATTGATTGTGTGATTGATATGTGGGGTTTAACGTCCCAAAACCACCATGTGATTATGAGAGAAATTCAGGAAATTTCGACCACCTGGAGTTCTTTAACGTGCACCTAAATCTGAGCAACACATGCCTACAGTATTTTCGCTTCCATTGAAAATGCAGCCTCCGCAGCTAGGATTCGATAACGCAACCTGCGGGTCAGTGGCCGAGTACCTTAGCCACTAGATCACCGCGGCGAACGATTAGTCAAAATTAGATGGCGCTGCTGCACGTAGCTAACCGTGCTCATTCTACTTTTTGTATTGTAAGGGACATGATGTTTTTCGGGTATCTTGCTAAAGAAAAAGATAATGTCACATTTACACACCGTGACAATTGCTTGTGTGTGCCCATACCTCTTTTTTTTTTTGGACAGATGATTCGTGGGCATAAATTAAGTTTATATTATACAGTTGCTATAGTAATATTTTACAAAAGTGATTTATGAGAGGTCATTTAAAAATGAGAGGACGTACATGCTTGTTATGCATACATTGTTTCAAAATAAAAATTTTCAGTAGCTAGTAAGCGCTCGACTGTGTGCTACCCGAGTGTTTGTATGTTTTTAGCGCTTCTTTCATCATGAACATTCAAATACTATACTAAGAGTAAATGTGTGGCTAGTTTTCTTTTTTTTTTAGAAAAATATCTTCATGTCTGTGCTATTGTAATTCCAGACACACACACACACACACACACACACACACACACACACACACACACACACACATGTTGATGATGCACACACACACGCACACACACACGCACACACACACACACATGTTGATGATGCACACACACGCACGCACGCACGCACGCACACACACACACACACACACACACACACACACACACACACACAAACGCTTAGGAGTTGGTGCTAGAGTTACTCTATATGCTACTCTAAAGACAGTAACACCGATTGGTACTGTACATGTTGACGTTTAGTAGAAAGAGACGATACAAAACTACGCAGCAGGGCTCCAGCAAAGAAGTCCGGGCACAACCAACCTGTTTTCTTTTTCAGTAACCGTCACCTCCTCCTCTTCCGAAACGGCGCAAACGATGGGGCGAAACACCTGCAAGAGAAAGCGCTATCAAGGCGAGGTATATGCAATCCCTCGAGCACAATACATTTTAAATGAGCGACACCCGACACGAGCGCCGGTGGGCGATTATTGTCAAAGGCCGATCACGGCGACCGCGGCACGCATTCGCATTTTCCAGCGGCAACGCCAGCAGAAGCTCTGCCAAGAACCAAATTTGAACGGCGAAGCGATGCGGCTTTGGGCGAAGCTGCGCGTTTGATGTCGCCGGACGTAAATAAACGGATAGGAGGAGTCGTGGCTGAGGGCTCGCGTTGGATGATCGTCAGCAACAGGACTCGAAAGTAAACTGCTCCGAGAATACAAAGCATGTACAGCTGCATTAGCGCTGCCGGAATGAAATGGCACCAGCCGTAAAAGCAGAGGGGACTCGGAATGAGCGCCGAAGGATCCACGTAAGACGACACTACTATTTCAAAGTGTCAGACAACCGTTACAGCTTTTGGCGACTTCTAACTACTCCCTTACCTCTTTGGAAAGTCTGACGTCCTGTCCAAATGACGAACGAACGCTCAGCGGCGGCACCGCCGCACTATCATAGCTTCACCGAAAACACTTCGACGCCGTGCTTCGACGCTATGATAGCGAGGAGCGCACACCAAGGCACTTGTAAAAGGAGAGTGTGTCGCCCGCGCAACAAAACCGACTTTTGCGATAATGTCAATGACGCCATCAAACTGGCGCTACGAGCGACCGGCGTGCTTAGCGCGGCAAACTTGAATGTGGTTTTTTTCCTTATATTGTCTAAAATAAGGTGGAAGGCACATCTGAACACAGCCAAAGGGGCGAGTTTGGTGGTTCAAATCATTCACCTTTCCTTAAATATTTACAGTTCGAATGTATATTTTGTGAGTTCCCACTTACCATGCATCCCGGAGTCTGCGGTCCTCTCCAAATATTTTAGTGCGGCAGAAAGACGATTTGGTACGTTGCTCCGTTTATTAACGTTGGTTAGGAAAATTCACGCGGAAAGTTTACCTCGAATAGGTGACTAAATGTCCGAGTGTGACAAGGTGCGAAATGGTTTTTTCCCTTATATGGGCGCTACTAGGATTCTAGCCACCCTAGCGCAACCAAGGCTCTACCCATTGATGCGTGCATGGGCGGGCGCAAAGGGGGAAGCCGCCTCCCCTGGTCACACCTAACAGGCAACGGGAGGGGTCTGTTCAACACATCGATTTAGTAGGGGTTAGGTGCTGCGCTGCGATTACCCCCCTTCTCTAGATGGGGGAACCCTGTGCACGCTTATGGATGCACTTTGGACTCTGTAAGCTCTCTGCCATCTTTTACGCTTGATCAGTCCTATGGACCTCCTCGCCCTTTCTCATGAGCGATGAGTTTATGAGCGATGAGTTCGAGGACACGAAAAAGCGCCTTAGGGAGGCCACAGAGGAAAGGGAAGTCCTGAGGAGAGCTAATGAAGAGCTACGTGCAAAGTGCAAAGAGAGTGATAACATCATCCAGCAACTTCAGAAGAGAGTTGTTCAATCTGAGCAATACTCGCGCATGTCAAACGTAGAAATTAAAGGGCTTATACAACAGGAAAACGAATGTGTTGCAGGACTCGTTGGAAAAATTGGTGATGTACTTGGTGAGCACATAGCACCTTCTGATATTGAAGTTTGTCACCGTGTGCCCACCCGAGAAGCTGGAAAGTTCAACATAATTATTCAGTTCAAGAGCGTACAGAAGAGGGACACTGTCCTTGAGAAGGCACGGAAGGCCTGGGTGCGAAATAGCCAGGTAAGAATTCCTGATGATGCCAGAGTATTTGTTATTGAACATCCTCTGCCCGGCGTTGAAGCGTCTTCTTTCACTTGCCTTGGCAAGAAGGCGTGAATATCAATGGTGCTTTGTCTGGACGCGAAACGGAAAGGCACTTGCGCACAAAACTGAGGCTAGCAGTGTAATCCATATTGCTTCGGAGGCTGACCTTCAAAAGATCGCGTAGAATATGTTCTACGTAATCTTAAAGTCTTCATATTCCTTTTGACTGCACAATGTATCGAGAATTTAGCCTACCATCTGAAATATCCCTGCCTTCACACGGGAGAAATATTTCTGCCCTTCATGGGAACTCGCGTTCACTCGCTCATAAGCTAGACATTCTAGCAATGTTTCTTGCCGAGTTTACTTTTTCATTTGATGTTATTAGGTTCTCTGAAACGTGGTATCAAGAACACAGTGAAATGCTTATCATAGATGGGTATAGCCACTTCTTTGTTAATCGCGCAGGAAAACGTGGTGGTGGCGTTCCACTGCATGTTAAGCGCGGCATACATTGCGATGTGCTTGAGGAATTCACCTGCACCACGCCCCATTATGAAGTGCTCAGCGTTAAATCGGACAACATTCTGTTTGTAGTGAGTTACCGACCACCTACTGGCAACGTGTCTAATTTCTTAGAATTCACTGAAAAACTTTTAGAGCAGGCTTCTTTTCACGAGTACAAAGTTCTTCTTGGTGGCGACTTCAACATTAACATGCTCGATGATGGCACTTTGGCCCATGCAACTGTTAACCTTATGGATTCCCTCTGTTTCTGTAGCGTTATCAAAACACCTATTCGTGTGACGGCATCTTGTCAATCGGCTCTCGATAATTTCATAGTTAACCCTGGTACACAGATTTATACAGCTGGGATCATCAGCTATGATATCAGCGACCACTGCCCAATATACGTAGTATGCTCATTTTATGTTAATGAAAAATGCTTGCCTTATACCACGTTAAGTTATAGATGTCTATCTAAGGAAAATATGCAACATTTTCGCGCACTTGCACTGCGCACAAACTGGTCCTCTTTATATAACAAAAAAGATGCTAGTGAGGCATACGGCGAATTCCTGTCAATTTTCACTCATCTTTACAATCTATCTTTTCTACTAAAAAAAGGCAAAGTAAAGAAACGTATTAGAAAGCCTTGGGTGCAGCCTCAACATGTTAAGATGATAAGTAAGAAAAATAGGTTATTCAATAGATTTTTACGCACGCGTGAAGAAAGCGATCTCGTTGCATTTAAGAAGTTACGAAATGCAATAAACAAAGAACTGCGAAAGGCTAAAGCCCACTATTATGAAACCTTTTTTGCTTCGGTACAGAGTAAAAATCCAGAAAAAACGTGGAAAATTATCAACGATGCCATAAGACAAAAAAATGCGACACAGCCTCTCCATGAAGTCACCCTAAACAATGAAAAGGTCACAGGCGTCGCTTTAACTGAACGCTTCGATAATCACTTCGTGAACATGATGACGTCATCGGATAGCGCGGTCACTGGCACAGCTGTTAACAGATGTATGCATAGCATTTTTTTCGAGCCGGCTGATGACACTGAGATTTTTCGTACTTTTTGGGCCTAAAAACAGCAATGCTGTTGATGCAGATGGCATTCAAATCAGACCAATAAAATTTGTAATTGACGTCATCGAAATCCACCTTGCATTTGTTTTTAATCTTGTTCTAACAACTGGCCATTTTCCAAGTGCTATGAAGAAAGCCAGGGTCTCAGTGATCTTTAAAGGCGGTAATCGAAATGACTTAGGGAACTATAGGGCTATTTCTATTCTACACGTCCACCTTTTCTAAGGGTTTAGAGAATGTGATCTCAGCTTGAATCAATGACTTTTTTTTTAAAGAATAACATTCTGTCTGACTGTCAGCACGGATTCCGCCCAGGCAGGTCGACAGAGACGGCATTGTTATGCCAAAAGGAGCTAATAATTGATAACATTGATGCAGGAAAACTAACTTTAGGTATATTTATAGACTATAGCAAGGCATTCGATCGCTTAAATCATGAGATTTTAATAAGAAAGCTTGACAGCTACGGTATTCGGGGCGTAGCAAACTTGTTGTTTCGATCATCTGTCCGGGCGGACTCAGTGCGTTGCTATTGAAAATTTCTGCTCTTCATTCGCGAAATCAAATCGGGAGTACCGCAGGGTAGCGTATTGGGAACCGACCTTATTTAATGTCTATGTAAATGACATTGCTGAAACTGTTAGTGATGCATCCATTGTGCTGTACGCTGACGATACAAGTTTGTTTGTCTCTGGCCATGAACTTGATGATCTGTCGCAGAAATCTCGCATTATTCTTTCTAATCTGTCGGCGTGGTCTCGTAATAATGCTCTAACAATTAACAGCTCAAAATCGAAAGCCATATTGTTCAGGACGAGAGGCAGCCAGTCTTGTTTCAATCAAGAATTATTCTTAGACTGTGCTCCCATTGAAATTTTGAGGAAA